GGAAGGGCTGTGCTCTGAAAGCACTGAACAATAGTCACCTGAGGTCCCAAACTAGGAAACCAATCTTACCACCAAAACCTCCCCCCCACTCCACATCTTTGCAGCCCAGAACACAGCCTTGGCCGTTTCCCAGTTTTACAACAGGAAACCAGAGTCCCTTGGTTCCTTTTCTTTCCATACCCCACAACTCATGTGTCAGCCAGTCCTGCTGGCTTGACCTTCCAAATGGCAGTGTATGGCAGCCCAACCCTACGCTAATCCAGCCTCATTCTGGTGCTTCAGGCCCAGGCTTCACCAACCCATAGGCACTCGGGGTTCTGGTTATGCCAAGAACCTTGTACTTAGTATTCTCTACTTTGTGTCCTCTGCTTGGGAAGCCAGTCCTCCCAGCTCCCAAAGGCCCACTCCCTCTCTCTCTCTCTCTCTCTCTCTCCATGTTTTCAAAGGCCCAGCTCAGACATGACCAATGCCTGTACCCTCATCTTCTTCTTCCTCCTTTTCTGGTGCAGTGCCTGGTCCCCACAGTCTCTGTGATGATTCGTAAAATGAATAACTCAAAATGACAAAGTCTAAAATGGCTAAGAGGAGAATTGCTTCTCAAGGCCGATTTAAGATCAAAAGCTTGAACCCAAAATGCAATGTTCTGTGAGCTAACTCACAGAGAAGCATTCGGAGTTTGTGTATAGAGACCTCCCTGAGTACCCCAGGGTCTGTGCATGCTGTGATCTGGGGCTGGTTGAAGCCTGGGATGGATTGCAGCACCAGGGCTGTGTTGGGGGTGTTGTCTATCTGTCTCTCACTCATAGAAAAACATTATAAAACTCAAAATTGAACTAAGCTGCTGGGGGGGCTGAGGCTCAGCTGTGAGCAGTAGGAAGACCCCAGGCAGCACAGGTGGGCACTCAGAAATTGGTGGAATGGAGCGCCTGGGAGTCCCTGCAGCAAGTACAGTGAGGGAGGCCAGGTAGGCAGGCAGCACGCGCAGGCCTGGCAGGCAGGGGCTCAGGGCCAGGACTGGGTTTCCTAGAAGCCGAAGGACAATGTTGGGGAAGGGCTGTGCTCTGAAAGCACTGAACAATAGTCACCTGAGGTCCCAAACTAGGAAACCAATCTTACCACCAAAACCTCCCCCCCACTCCACATCTTTGCAGCCCAGAACACAGCCTTGGCCGTTTCCCAGTTTTACAACAGGAAACCAGAGTCCCTTGGTTCCTTTTCTTTCCATACCCCACAACTCATGTGTCAGCCAGTCCTGCTGGCTTGACCTTCCAAATGCCAGTGTATGGACGTTGTAGGATTCCATTTCAATGACACTCTGGAAAAGACAAAACTGTAGGGACAGAAAACTTTTGCCAGCGGGGAGGGTGTGACTACAAAGGGTCACAAGGGAATTTGGGGACCAGTGGGACTCTCAGAGCCAAACGGTGATGCAGCAGTAAAGTAAGCTCTCTCTGCGAGGCTGACCCAGGTGAGAAGGTTCCAGCTTCATGTCCTGAGACCTCCCTGAGTACACCATGCATGCGTGTGCCCGTAACCTGGGCTGGCTGAGGCTGGGGTGGCTCAGGGTGTCAGGATTCTATTGGGGGTGCTATCCTTCAGTCTGTCTGTCTCTCTCTCTCAAGGAATAACTAAATAAATAACAAAAAAAATCCTCACAAAACTGTACACTAAAAGTGAATTTATTGTACTTTAATAAAAATATTGGGGGGGGGCAGCAGATGGCTTAGCGGTTATGTCATTGGACTCCCACATAGCTAATCACAGTTCAAGTCCTGGACCCAGTGGCTTGAAACTCATGCCGGGCATGTATGCACGCATGCCCAAGATCCTGGGAGGAGAATGGAGGAGAAGGGATTGTGGTGTGACCTCCACCCAGGGATCCTCATTCTGGTGCTTCAGGCCCAGGCTTCACCAACCCATAGGCACTCGGGGTTCTGGTTATGCCAAGAACCTTGTACTTAGTATTCTCTACTTTGTGTCCTCTGCTTGGGAAGCCAGTCCTCCCAGCTCCCAAAGGCCCACTCCCTCTCTCTCTCTCTCTCTCTCTCTCCATGTTTTCAAAGGCCCAGCTCAGACATGACCAATGCCTGTACCCTCATCTTCTTCTTCCTCCTTTTCTGGTGCAGTGCCTGGTCCCCACAGTCTCTGTGATGATTCGTAAAATGAATAACTCAAAATGACAAAGTCTAAAATGGCTAAGAGGAGAATTGCTTCTCAAGGCCGATTTAAGATCAAAAGCTTGAACCCAAAATGCAATGTTCTGTGAGCTAACTCACAGAGAAGCATTCTGAGTTTGTGTATAGAGACCTCCCTGAGTACCCCAGGGTCTGTGCATGCTGTGATCTGGGGCTGGTTGAAGCCTGGGATGGATTGCAGCACCAGGGCTGTGTTGGGGGTGTTGTCTATCTGTCTCTCACTCATAGAAAAACATTATAAAACTCAAAATTGAACTAAGCTGCTGGGGGGGCTGAGGCTCAGCTGTGAGCAGTAGGAAGACCCCAGGCAGCACAGGTGGGCACTCAGAAATTGGTGGAATGGAGCGCCTGGGAGTCCCTGCAGCAAGTACAGTGAGGGAGGCCAGGTAGGCAGGCAGCACGCGCAGGCCTGGCAGGCAGGGGCTCAGGGCCAGGACTGGGTTTCCTAGAAGCCGAAGGACAATGTTGGGGAAGGGCTGTGCTCTGAAAGCACTGAACAATAGTCACCTGAGGTCCCAAACTAGGAAACCAATCTTACCACCAAAACCTCCCCCCCACTCCACATCTTTGCAGCCCAGAACACAGCCTTGGCCGTTTCCCAGTTTTACAACAGGAAACCAGAGTCCCTTGGTTCCTTTTCTTTCCATACCCCACAACTCATGTGTCAGCCAGTCCTGCTGGCTTGACCTTCCAAATGGCAGTGTAAAACCATACGTTGTAGGATTCCATTTCAATGACACTCTGGAAAAGACAAAACTGTAGGGACAGAAAACTTTTGCCAGCGGCTGAGGGAGGGTGTGACTACAAAGGGTCACAAGGGAATTTGGGGACCAGTGGGACTCTCAGAGCCAAACGGTGATGCAGCAGTAAACAATGCTCTCTCTGCGAGGCTGACCCAGGTGAGAAGGTTCCAGCTTCATGTCCTGAGACCTCCCTGAGTACACCATGCATGCGTGTGCCCGTAACCTGGGCTGGCTGAGGCTGGGGTGGCTCAGGGTGTCAGGATTCTATTGGGGGTGCTATCCTTCAGTCTGTCTGTCTCTCTCTCTCAAGGAATAACTAAATAAATAACAAAAAAAATCCTCACAAAACTGTACACTAAAAGTGAATTTATTGTACTTTAATAAAAATATTGGGGGGGGGCAGCAGATGGCTTAGCGGTTATGTCATTGGACTCCCACATAGCTAATCACAGTTCAAGTCCTGGACCCAGTGGCTTGAAACTCATGCCGGGCATGTATGCACGCATGCCCAAGATCCTGGGAGGAGAATGGAGGAGAAGGGATTGTGGTGTGGCCTCCCCCCAAGGAGTGATTTCTCACTTTCCCTTTCTCTTTCTATGTCTCTCTCTCTCTCCAGTGAGCACATGTTCCCTAAGGCAAAAACCTCTATAAAAACGTTTTAAAATAAAAATAAGGAAGAAAGTATACAGGGAATGCAAGTATTTCTCATCACCACCCTAGCCATCACCCTGGGCTGGGCACCATCATAGTCTTAGACTCCTATTGCAACGGGCTCTTCTTGGGTCTTCCTGTTCCTTCCATTCCCTTCACTGCAGTCTGTTCCCAGCACAGCAAGGACTGGGCCTTTGAAAACAAAGCACATTTTGGTTCTCCTTTGCTTAGAAGTCTATAGTCTTCTCCTCAGAGAAGAGTGAAACAGCCTCCATTGTATCCTTCCTTTATTTAAAGCTTATTTATTTATCTTTTCCATGAAAGAGGAAACAGAGAAAGAAACAGGCACCCCCATCCAAGTCCTCATGCTGCAACCCACCCGCAGCCTCAGCTGATCCATATCACAAGCAAGCGTGCACACACCTGGCATGCTCAGGGAGATTCCGGGACCTTCCCATGTGGGTCCAGGCAGACCACCACTGTGCCACCTGGTACTGCCCTCTGCTTTCTCTGGCCTGAGCTCCCGCAGTGCCTCCCACTTCCCCTTCCAGCTCACTCCATTGCTGCTGCCTCAGCTTCCCTCCTCTCCTTGAACTTGCCGCGTGGTTTAACTTAGAGAGGAAGATGCAGCTCTCATAATGGCCACCAAGACCTGCCGGAGCACAGCCCTCTGTTATCTCTCAGGCGATCTCATGGTCCTAACACCCTCACTCCCCCCTCCCAGACACCCCCCCCCCAGCCATAATGGCTGTTTGGTCTTCGGATTTGCATTGCACGCCTGAAATGTACACCCCCCCACCCCATGGCCATTCACCTGGTCCCTCCATCATTTCTTTCAAATCTTTGCTCAAATAGCGTTTTCTCAGATTGTCTTATTTTTCCTACAGGCCATAGTTCCACCTGACATACCATATACCTTGTTATTGTGTGGTTCCTCCTCCTATCCATGAGAACAGAGATTTTTGTTTTATGAGGGGACTTCAGAAAGTTTGCGGGGGTAAATAGAATTAAAGTATGAGTTTATTTTTGGTGCGAAAAATGTGAAATCCTTGTGCTTTCATCATAATATGCCATTTTCGTGAACTTTTTGAAGGCCCTTCATGTTGTTTGGTATCCCTTCAGTACTTGGGACATTACATTTTGTAGATGGGAGAAGAGAAGGAGAAGAAGGAAGGAGTCCCAAGGACCAGCAATGATTGTAATCTGACTTAGCGGTGACTCGCTGCCCCTGGATTTTGCTCACCTTCTTACCCTGTGGAGTTCTTGATGGCATGGAATATAGGACAAGTCTGTATATTTGTGGGTGCAGGGGTTTTGGGGTACTACCTCTTCTTCCTGCCCTCCCTTTTTGCTTCATTGCTACCTCAGATTACTAAAGTTAACAGATGCCTTCTCTTAAATTTCTTTCTAGAAGCAGATGTTCCAGGAGAGGAGCAGCCGGATGCTCCAAGCCTTATCTCCGAAGCAGAGCCCCGTGAGCAGCCCGACCAGGAGCCGGTCCCCTTCCCGCTCTCCATCGCCCACCTTCTCCTGGCTTCCAGTCAAAACCTCACCCCCCTCCTCGCCGAAAGCGGCCTCAGCTTCCATCAGCAGCATGAGCGAGGGGGACGAGGATGAGAAATAAATGCTGCTGGCCTACAAGGCCGCACCACACAGGATGGGAGGAGGGCGGGGCGCACATGGCATGCCTGGGTGGTGGGCGAAGGGTAACAGTCACAGGAGCTGTGGCTCAGCAGGGAGACCCTGAACTCTGCTAACGGAGGGTCTTGGGACCAGTTCTCCTAACTCTCCACACAGCCCAAGACTAGGGCTCAGCATGGAGGTTTCCAGTTATAAGCTACACAAACCTTCTTAGCATCATCTAGAATCATTCTACTTTAACTTTGCTAAGGAAAGACGCAGAGTGCCCCAGGGGGACTTGCACTGAGTGGGGTGGCTTCTGCTTTGGTCCTTACACCCACCCCCTGCCAAGTAGACCACCTGTGGAAGCAGCTGTTCCCTCAGCCTGCTACTCCTGGCTCTCTAAGGGCCTGCACGTTGCCTCCTACCACTCCAGCTCTGTCAGAATACAGTTGTTTCCCACAGAGGTGGCAAAGTGCTTCTGACATAGTTGAATTAAAGACACATTCTGACCTTCTGAGTTCAGCTACTGAGACCTGATGTTGCAACACATCAGCGCTTTCCACTTCCGGGAACAGGGCTCACAGACAGAGCCTTGCTTTAGGCCCGATACGAAGGTCATCTAGTACGAACGCTCTTTCTTATCTGAAGGACAGTTTTGTCAAGGAGAACTGCACATGCAACCTCATGTGCTCCGGTTGTACTTTCTCATCATTGACATTACTTGGTTGTTTTCACGGAATTACCTTAATCTGTGGGAACTGCAACAAAGAAAAACATCCTGTATCAAAAAAAAAAAAAAAAAAAAAAAAAAACGGAGCTAAAAAAAAAAAAAAAAAAAAGGAGCTGCCTTGCTTTGGCTCCAAGTTTAGCAGATGATAAATGTCTCCTGAAGCTTCTCCTTAAAGGATGCTATTATGGAATGGCTTTTTCCATTTCTGACCAGTTAACAGTTTCATGGACCTCAAGTAACAGTCTGACGTCCCAAACACATAGTATACCGATAGGGGGTGCTACCTGCACGTGTCTGTTCTATGTATGCTCCAAATATGCCACCCCAGGGTGTATACCATATGCAATACGAATATATGCTGGTGGCATTTTACGATATATCCCTCTCCTGCTCTCTCCCCTAA